CTGATGTCGCTGCCGAGTGCGAGTATAGAAAAGAAAAAGGAGTGGCAAAATGGCATGAAAAGTTTCTTGTGGAATATCGAGGTGGTAGAAAAACGGAAGGAAGAAAGTGCATTAAATGCAATGTTTTGATTAAGAGTATTGGGGCGTCAACGACTTCGATGACTAAACACACGCAAGTGTGTGATAGAAAAACGGTCCAAACTGTCATTGCATCGGACCAAACTGTAATTCCTTTCAAGCGGGCTAGAGTTCAAGACGGCTTGAATGAAGTTGCTAAACTTGTATATGAAGACAATATACCAGTGTACAAAGTTGTGCGTTCTCCAACGTTACAATCATTTTTTAAGCAGCTTCACTTTAGTAAAGTCACCTACTGTTCAGTCAACAATGCGCTGGAGGTAAATTACCAAACAGCAGTACAGAAAATTAAAGATTTGATAGTAACACGTGATAAGCGACAAATGCTCTCCTTGAGTTTTGACAAATGGACATCAGCGGACAACAAAAAGTTCATTGGAGTATATTTGTATGTTGGCGGAGAAAGCGTTTGCTTGGGTTTGATTTATTATACTGGTTTCTGTGGGGCCGAAGAAATACTCATCAATCTGAAAAAAACGCTAATTCGTTTTGGTCTACAATTAAGAGACATTTCCTTATTTATTAGCGACTGTGGGTCGGATGTTCAATTAGCTGGCCGCAATGCCAATTTATTTACATTCCCATGTTTGGCTCATGTTATTAACCTGATTGTCAAGCAGTTTATATGCAATGTCGGAAACGAGACTGAAAACTTTGACGAAGAGCAACTAAAGGCATTAAATAGTGACTGTGATTCAGACAATGATGATGATGAAAATGATAACACTTTTGAAACTATGTTAAGCGGAACTGTTCACCGATTGAGAGAGTTGTGCAGGAAAATTAAGAAATCCCCCACTTTACGAGATAAGCTAGCAAATGTTCAATTGGCTCTTGGGCAAACTATTTTGTCCATAGTGATTGATAATAAGACCCACTGGAACTCGCTCTATGACTGCATGACAAGGTTTCTTGAGTTGAAACCTATTCTTATTTCTATTTTGCCATCTGAGGATTTAAATGATTTTGACTGGGATAAAGTTGCGTCGATTTGTCGAACACTGAAACCTTTGAAGGAGTGTACATTGGCTCTGCAAAGCAACAAGTCTGATGCTGCGTTAGCTGTGAAAGTTATAAAATTTCTTAATCATTTGGCACATATGGAACCAGCTCTTAATTCTCCAATTCGCACTGTTTTGGGTAAGTGGATTGATAAAAATCCTGTTATCACTGCCCTGATTAATAAATCGGGGAGTTTTTTTGAAACTATTCGAAAGTTCGCTGTTGAACCCGAAAGTGCCACACAGGTGGCGTCTAATGATCATCAATATGTGGCTGTGGAAGAAGGTTTGTCTTTTGCAGAGTTCATTAACAATTGCCAATTAGATGAGTTTGACATTTTCGCTTTTCTGGAAAATTTTCGTCCGTCCAGTGTTGATCCAGAGCGCCTATTTTCTTTATGCCGACTCAGTCGCAACTACTTACAAAATCGATTATCACCTGAGAATCATTCACGAAATGTTTTCTTAAATAAGAATAAAAGGTTTTTGAAATAAAACTGTTCATTAGCAAACTTGTTTTAAAATTACGGTCTCTTTTTTAGATAGTGTCACTCGATTTAGCTCGAAAAACTGGGTTGTCACTGATTTTTAACAGTTTTTAGCGATCTCAGTCGATTTAGCTCGAAAAACTGGGTTGTGAGTTGTGACTGATTTTTAACATTTACTCACTCCCGCGATTTTTACATTATTACGCAAGTCCCAGCCAATTCTACTTGAAAAATGCTATGTTCAATACTTTTTATAGAATTTGTTGTATCAAACTTTTATGCTAAGTTTTTTGGGAAAATAACCAAATATCCGAATAGTTGTTCGAGTAGTAACATTTGGCCGAAGCCGAATCCGAATAGTAAGGGCACTATTCGGCCGAAGTCGAATATCGAATAGTTGGGCCGCGGCGAATAACGAATATCAAAAAATCCGAGTATTCGACATCCCTGTATCTGACGCCTACAAATATCATGAGAGTGTCAAAACATTAAAATACCAACAAAGAATGCTGGACGTGGAACACAGCAGCTTTGTTCCACTAATTTTTGCGTGTACCGGAGGAGCAGCACCGGGCTCTACAAAAACAGTCCAGAAACTAGCAGAGAAACTAAACGAAAAACGGAACGAATCATACTCGGACACATTTAACTATATAAGAACAAAAATAAGTTTTGCTCTTCTGAGGAGTGCAATCCTCTGCTTTAGGGGGTGCAAAAAACTTTAAAATACATCGAACATAGACAATTCTCTCTGTGCTGTAATCGAGGAGGGTAGATTTTAATTGACAATTCTCTTGATGCATTAAAATAGACTTGATTTAATCATAAAATTTTGTCGTTTTATTTATATAGCGTTGGTATGGCCCTATCCAACCTGTGCACGTACCGTCGCATGACGGAAGGGCCCATATTAATTGAGCCCCCTTTATCAAGGCTAAATAAAAATGCATCAGCGAACAATTTATGAAAGTTTTTAGTTCTAGGTTCTAGAGGCTTGTCAATAAAACATCCTCAGTTATTGCACTAATAGAATTTTCTATGCTGTTTGTGCTTTGCAGATTCATGCATTCCGAAGGCAATGAGTCGCACTCCTCAGGAGTGCAAATGTTAGTTTGGTTCATTTAAAACTTCATTATTTCCCATTATGACTAATTGAGTTTTCTTCTGGTTTTTGGATTGTTTTAGTGGAGCCTGGCGTTGCTGAGCTAGTACATGCAAAAGTTAATGTAACAAAGAAGTTATGTTCCACTTCGAGAATTCGTTGTTGGTACTTCAGGATCTTCACGCTTTTATGATATTTGTTAGCGTCGGGTATGGGTTTTTTGACATGATTCGGCGTAGTTTGAAAATCTGCACATCGAAAAAGGCTCGGCTGAAATGGCCTCCTCGGAGTTCATAAGTCTAGTTCTAAGCGTAATATATGTCTTTAAACTGTCGCTGAGTTTCATTTGATGCTGAGGAAGTTGTATATGCGAAGTGAAACTTTGCTTCTCTGAGTTATCTGTGTCCCGCTTGTCACATCGAATGGTTTTTTAATTCAAATCAAAATCTCGAGGTGCCAATTTAAGTCCAATAAGTAAGTTATCACGTTTATGAGCTTCCAATCGGAAATATGCAAAATTTCAATGACAGTTTTTTGGTTTTTGGTTTGTTCACACTTCTCGACAGATGTATGATGCTAGACTTGGGATGCCTGTAGAGTGTTTCTTGTTTTAAGTCGATGAAAGTGTTTTTTATCCTCAGCATTTTTATAAGCACCTTCTGGGAGCCATGGATTTTCAAAATGTAAAGCCATTGGTATCTTAACCTGATTTTTGCTTCATGTAAACAATTAGCGAACTCATTTTTGAAAACCTTAACTATAAATCGAGTGGTCAGCTAAAAAATAGAAATAGAAAATAATGCTCCCTTTTTAATGAAGAGATCAGCCGAATGTGTCATTTAGAATAAATGCTATGACTTTGAACTTCGAGAATCAGATGGCGTACATCTGAACTCCCTTGATTTTGACATTGTCGTATTAATCAAAAAGTTTTTTTGATATTTGATAAAACAGGTTGACCCCAAAATCACACCACCAAAATCGCTTGCAACAATCACTTACATTAACATTAAAATGTTTTGACATCATAACAATCAACGGGACCCAGCACGAGCCTAACATGTATCCCAAGATCTTAGTCACATTTTATGTAAAGATAGTCTAAACTAAAGCTATACCACATGGTGACAGTCAGCGCTGGGGACGATTTCACTCAACAATTTCAGTTCTTGGAAGAGCTACTTTCAATCGATGACACGATCACTTGTGAGAAAGAATTTGACATGCCTTGAAAAGACAGAGAAAAAAATGGGTTTTATTCAGAAGTGGCTCAACCATTAGCAATTGGAACACTTGTGCAACACGCACCTATAGGAAGTGCACATCGTAAAACTCGAACAGCTTCTGTTCGACCCAAAAAAAGATACATCAGAAAAGAATCAGCTAAAATTGACAAAAAAGGCGCAGCGAGCCTACCTAACGCCCGAACTGCAAAACTATTACCCAAACCAAAATACGTGGTTCGGGCTAGCAAGAGGAGGTAGAGTTGCATAACGCCAGAATAATTCTAAGCCGTCGCTGAGTTTCATTTGATGCTGAGGACTTTAACATAGACTATCTAATTTTTTAATACCATCTGAAAGGTATCAATGCCATGAGTTGAAAGTGAAGCATCTGTTTTAACTGCGTCAAGTTGAGTTTTTTTTTTGCTTTTTGGTTCTATTAACGCGTAAGCGGAGAATTATTCATCATTCAGAAATCATTTGAGTGCAATTGAGGCAAGCGATCAGTTTTTATCTTTGCGGTACTTGATGAGAAAATTATCACTGTTCAAAAAAGCTCAAAAACTGAATTTCAAAAGGCCCAAATATTTTCGGGAAAGTTATGGCAATTTGTGAAAGCACACGATGACTTAGTTTCCATTAGATTTATCAATCATAATTTTGCTTTCGTATGAGAAGTGCAGCTTCGATTCTCTGTGTATTTTGTGCATTGCTTATCACATCGAAGGGTTCTTTTCTTTTTTAAATCAAAATCTTGAGGTACCAATTTAGGTGTTATAAGGAAGCTTTCACGTTTTTGAGCTTCCGGTAGGAAATAGCAAAATAGTAATGACTATTTTTTTGGTGAACTCAGATTTCGACAAAGATTTATGATACTGGATTCGGGATGTCTATAGAGTGTTTCTTGTTATAAGTTGAAGAAAGTGTTTTTTACCCTCAGCAATTTTTGTAAACCCTTCTGAGAAGCCACTTCTCTGTTGCTGAGCGGTGCTTCTTACTTTTTGTGGCGAAATTCCAGTGCATAAGTGTGTTTTATATTTGCAGATAATATGTTCCGCACAAATGACAATTTTGCTTCTGAAACTATCAAGAAAACAGGCGGAAGTAAAACTACTGTATGGACACTACTCAGTGTAGTCAAATTTTTGAAGTGCTTTGGACTGTTCCTTTCTTACGATGTCCTGAAAGTCTTGAAATTGCCGCAATATCTTTTTGGCGTACAATTACTGTCTTCTGTTGTCTTAGTGAGCCTGCAAAGACCATTTGCTGCCAAACGGCTGACAACATCACAGCTTCTCAAGATCTTCAGACATGCCATCATCAGTACTTTTATTCTCATGATATGGTCTTTTTCTTTTACGATGTGTGGACCATTGCGGTCGGTCCTTATTTTCGAGCTAAGTGACACTGTGGTTCTCAGTGCAGTAGGTGCTTTGTTCAAATCAGAGACAGGTTCCAAAGCTAAGGGACGAGCATTGCTATGTCTTGGGGTCGGGGTAATCACACTGCTCTTTTTCGACAATGATAATGCAGATAAGCTTCCAAAACACCCTGAAGGCCACCATACCAATTACTTTACACATTTCGTTTATTCTGTTTTGTCCGTAACAGGATTTTCAGACCATAAAATTGGCATAATTCTCATGTGCGGAGCGATGTTACTCTCAGTCATGTTCAAAAGTCATGAGAAGAAATTAGCTATTGAGGTAGGAGGGGCTAAGTACTTGAACTCAGTTTCGACTACAGTCTCGACAGCAATTCTGTTTCCTCTGCTATTGGTATCATTTGGCACAGAAGAAAAAGGCGTGTTCTCATTTGTTCATGTTTTTCTGCTGCTGATAATTATAGCGTTTCTCTCGTTTATTATTCCGTTTTACGTCGAGTCGTATGTGAATAAAGTTGACCCAGTAAATAGCCCGTCCACTGGAACAGTTTACAGTATAATAGCGGCTGTTGCCATTGGAATTGTTTGGACGAGACCTTATACTGCGTCAGTTAAACAGGTGACGCAGTTTGAAGGGCTAACCGAGGACCATCTGGTTTCGCTGGGTGTAATAATTGCAGGCGTGTTGTTTATTGTAGCGTCGCTCGCTCTGTCGGGAGATAGCAAAAACCCTTCAAAAGGAAGCTTCATTGGATATGGATCGGACGGGCATCCTATTTACTCATACGCGAATCAGGCGTTTATGAAAACCACATATTCAGTCAAGACAGTAATCAAAAAAGGACTACAACAAATTATAAGTGAAAAAGATTCAAGGCAAATATTTTATTTCTTGTGTGTAAATCTAGCTTTTACGTTTGTCGAATTAATATACGGCGTTTGGACAAACAGTTTGGGTCTGATTTCGGATGGCTTCCATATGTTATTTGACTGCTCTGCTCTGTGTTTGGGACTTTTTGCAGCCGTGATGTCTAAGTGGAAGGCCAACAGCGAGTATCCCTACGGATATGGTCGAATTGAAGTCCTATCTGGCTTCGTCAATGCTCTTTTTCTTGCAGTCATTGCATTCTTTGTGCTAACGGAATCCCTGGAACGATTGTTTGATCCGCCGAAAGTCAACACCGATCGACTTTTATTCGTTTCAGTTGCTGGTCTTCTGGTAAATTTATTCGGAATCTTTGCGTTCCACGAAGCACATCATCATGCACATGGCGGAGGTTGCTCTCATGGCCATAGTCATGGTGCATCCCATGGTCATGATCATTCTCATGGAGATGGCCATGACCACGACCATCATGATCATGACCAGGATCACGGAACTACTTCGACGGCGTCGAACACAAACATGAAAGGGGTTTTCCTCCATGTTCTAGCAGATACACTTGGAAGCTGCGGAGTAATTGTTTCGTCACTACTCATCGAGTACTTCGGATGGAACATTGCCGACCCTATTTGCTCTCTATTCATCGCAGTTCTGATAGGCTTGTCTCTGATTCCTCTTCTCACTGAAACAGCCAAGATACTGTTGAACTGTGTTCCATCTGAAATGCAGGCCGATTTGAACGCCGCTTTACTCAAAATCCAAAACGTAGACGGTGTTCTGGGATTTAGCGACGTACATTTTTGGAGACATTCTTCAGCTCTGGTGTGTGCGACTCTGCATGTTCAAGTGGAGCCTTCTGTAGTTGAGCAGAGAATTATACAACAAGTGGGTGCAATTTTAAGAGGAGCGGGGGTGGGGGATGTTGCAATTCAGGTGGAGAAAGAAGAGTTTTATCATCACATGTCGGGACTGAACAACCAGCTGATCACGGCGAACAAATGGCCGACTTCATTCCAGTCAAGAAATCCTAATAAGCCATTGAGTAGTCTCTAAATTAGACCGAAATCCATTTTGGTGGTACATAACTTGTTAGATGTTATTAAATGTACTATATTTGAATCAAATTGTAAAACAATGGCAACTATTTAAATGTTAAATGTTTTTTTTTTTAATGGTGTCAAGTCTTATTTGTATGAAGGTTACAAAATTCATTGGCTGTAACATAATTTTTCTTCGAAAGACTAACTAGAATGTGATAACTAAAAAATGTTATTTTTTAAGTCTCGAAATGGTAAACGAGGAAAGCAAGGAAGCAGAAGCGATAGATGCCAATAAAGAAACAGATTTATCCTCTACGACGACTAAAACAGATGTAGATATCGAAATATCCAAAGATGATACTAATAGTATTGAAGAAAAAGGGGCACAAGAAACTTCAACGTCTTTGCCAACGACTGAAAATGAAGTAGCTAAAAACAATGGTGTCGAAGTTAGCAATAATAAAGATACTACCGAAAAAAGCGTTACTGAAGCTTCTGTGTTCGAAAAAGACGACGAAACTAAAGAAATGTCATCAAATGATTCGGAGGAGATTTCAGTAATTAGAGATTCAAAACCAGAGGAGTTAAATGACGTCACTCCTGAACCAGAAGTTTCTAAAGATGAGCAAAAAGGTGAAAATATAAAAGAGCCCAAAGCAACCGAATCAGAAGTAGAAACAAATGTTGCCGAGAAAGAAAAAGACGAAAAGCCGTCATCATCGGCAACATCAAAGCCACCGTTTGCGACGACGACAGCTGCGAAATCAAACAAGTCACGTGACTCGGGATTCTTCTCGGATCCCCAACCCCTGGCACAACAGAGACTTCCCCTGATAGCACCTCTGGCACCTGTGACTGACAGTGTGGACGTGCCTGCTTATACTTGCGAGGAGGCCAAACAGCTATTAAAGGGAAAGAAGATCGTATATCTGGGAGATTCGAGTAAGTATTTTAACTGTTGTTTGATTTGGATATTCAATTATGTGTATTTTTATTGGCCAAGAGCTCAGCCGATATTTCGTTCAGTTTGAAAAGGTCTGAAGAAAGAAACTTATGATGATGATGATGATATTGGCGAGGAAAATAAAAGTACCTCGTGTATTTTTTTTCAAGTTAACGCTGAAATTTAATAGATTTTCAAATGCGTAGTGTCGCTCTTTGTTTTCAGTTCAGCGCGCGTCTTACAAGGACCTGGTGCTGTTGCTACAGGAGAACAGATTTATGACTAAGCAGGAGAATCGCGCCAGGGTAACTTAAACATGGAAGTTTTTATAGCAGGAAAGCGTTAGCTCTCTCTCTCTCTCTCTCTCTCTTTAACTTTGAACTTTATAGCTCATCAAATATTGTCTCGGACGTCAATTTTTGGCTAAGACTTTTTGGCTATTCGCTCGAGAAGTGAGCGAATGCATGGCCGATTTAGTAACATTGTGATTTCGAAGATACCATGAGCATCGCTTTATAAATTGCAGTCGTCACTTAAAAATGAACTAGTATTGTCGATTTATTTATCAAAATAAATAATTTGATGAGCTATTTGGTACTCAGTAGCTAGCAAAACTAAACTTATAAGAAAAAGTATGCTAGTTTTTTCCTAAAAACAGCTTGTCTAACAGAATCAGTGAAAAGAGATTCCTATTTTTTAGCTAATACAAGACCAATGATTTAGTTCATGTATAGGAAGGGTTTTTTTTGAGACGCTGTGGGAAATGTTTTACCGCTTTTTGCATAAACTTTAGTTTTTCTTAAAACCTTTTATCGATTTTCAAAAAAGGGTTATCTAGAGAAAGTTCTCTTACACCCTTGTGTGTCTGAATACTCACCTGGTCTCTTTTTGCTTAACCACTTTGTCTACAACCTACGAAAAAGTCTTTGGGGAAGATTTTACCGATATTTTTGGTGTTTCTTTCGTTAGTTCAGTAAGCTCCCCTGCAATAACGGCAGTTCACAATTTTTCTACCCAAAAAGTTATCGTCCTCGGAAATTTAATTTTTTTTGTTTGAGCGTTTTTTCTTGTAAGTTTTATGAATTTTACAATATTTACCCTCCTATATCTGAGATTTTTGGTCCAATCAAAAGAATGGGTTGTAGAAAGCTCTTGTGCATATGCAACTACGCTTAAATTTTATTACACAAAAAATTATGGCTTTCGGAAAAATCAAAAATTTGATAGTATTTTTTTTGAATTTTCTTATAAAGTATCCTGTCAAATCTGAGCTGAAAAGTTCAACCAAAAAAAAGTTGCGCGAATTTTTACTGCAGAAGCGGCTACTCTTTTTTTGTAAGACAAATGTTATACATTGGAAAAGTTCCAATATCTCAAAAATGTTCCTTCTTCTCACTTATTTTAGTAGAAACAGCTAAGGATTTGAGCAAATTCCAATTTTTGGAAACATACATTTTGTCCTGCATCAGTATTACAAATTCAAAAAGTACCTCCAGCTTTAATTGAGTCCTAGGTATCCTTTATCGAGATATACGAAAGTTTTGATTCACTTAGTTTCTAACATTTATCATTTTTTCGATTTATGCATGTTTTTATTGCGTTGTATCGCAAGTGGTGCGAATATCCGCTTCATCTCTGTGTAAAAAAGATGGTAATACTGCTGTCAGGGGAGAAAAAAGTTTTCAACCTTTCTTTATATTTAAGTTTTCAACCGAAGCAACATTTAGTTTTCAACCGATAAAATGGACTAAATTTTTTTTGCAATTACCTGACATCCAAGGCTGAAACTATTGATGAATGAAACTATTTAAGGATCTAGCCGCTTTCAAAATAGAAATCTGTTCTTCGGAAATTTTTTTCTGACATTCAGTTCAGGCTCACGAGCTTTTATTGGAGCCAGAGAACTGTAGGAAAACTGCGAATTTTTTGTCTAGTGAAGTATGTTGAAGTCAACTAGGAGACTTAGTTTTCCAACGAGAAGGAAACGAGACCTGAAGTCCGAAATTGCCTAAAATTAAAATCGTTTCGCCCTTGCGATTAGGCTATACTTTTAAAAAAGTCGATGAATGTAGTTCAGATTCTTATGTAGGTCGCGATGATTTTTTTTAGGTAAAATTTGTTCAGTCTCAGTTTTACTTTTTCGCGTTTTGACTTTTAATTTGTTTTTAACTTCAGTTAAATTTATTTTTTAAAAGGAAGACAAACTTCACAATCGAGCAGCAAAATTTTAAAGGTCACATAAAGCGTTGTCGACTTATAGTTCCGAAAGTGGAATTTAATTTTCAGATTTTCCAGTAAATAAAAATTTTACTTATTGATGCAGTTTTCTCAAATTGGGTTGATTTTATCGAAAAAGTGTTAATCATAAATTCAAAGAGTTTTAAGGGCATCTCTTTTCTTTGAAATTCGTTCCAAGCGTTTAATTATTTTCTATCAGATATCCAAATTTTAACTTTTAATTGCAAGTAGTTGCATTGAAAACGGCAGAAACATGAGGAAAATTACCGCAAAACTAAAAGTTGCGATCTCTTGTTCACTTTTATGTTCGTGAATTTTGTACATGACAAAAAGCTTGGCTCACAAAACATGCTTAAGTAGATCATGTGGGAATAAGGACTATTTTTATAAGGTTTTTCAGCCTTTGACATCATCTGCTGTTTGCAGAGCAAAATTGTGTTTCAAAAACTCGTACAGACAGAAATTCTTGTATTGTGGAAAAGTTATATAGGTGAGAACTCGGTGTGCCACAACAAAAGTTTAAATGTGTTTGTAGTTTATTGTTCCGACCACTGAAAATGGGGAGGAACTTTGTATTCGGGTTTTAAGTCTTTTTTGTTTCCTGCGCAAAACCAGGTAACACAAATAATCATTGGAATGGGTCGAGTGATATATCATTTTAGAGCCCCTCGTTCGTGATTCGAACGGTGATTTCAAAAAATAAAAAAAGGGTCCCAGTGTCGAGAAAAGCCGGTTTGCAATTTTTGGGTGTTGCCTAATTTCGAGCGTGTAAAGCGACCGAGTAAGTAATGTTCGTTTTATAAAAATTGGTCATTTAGCTTGGAAAAACTGATTTTACTACTCGAAAATTAGTTTTTTTTTTCTAGTTTTAGAACCTTCGTTCAGCAATCTCTTGGCAGTAAAAAGGTTCTATGAAAAATATGGAAAATGTTTATGAAAATTAAAAATGTTTTGCAACATTTTTTAGTAGTCTCTTTGTTCGCTGTTTTTTTTTGTTGTCAGTTATTTATTTCTAATTCACTAACTTTGCACGAGTTTTATGGCTCTTTCATCACACCACGCACAAGCAACGACACTATTTTCAAAAGAAAAACATCATATGGTTTGTAGTTTATTATGAATGTGGTCGACACATTCTAAGCTACTTGCAGAGCAACCGGCTATCCTTTTTAAAATTGATGATTAATTTTTATCTTTAAAATTATTTTGGGCGATTGCATTTACGTTTAATTGTATTGCTTCGGAATTGTATTTCTTGAATCAGTTCAGGGACGGCCGTGTTGGGGTGATTGAACCCATAAAAAATTCCAATATTCTTTTGTCCTATGTTGGTGGCTTAAGACTATTTCAGCTGGAGCTGCAACGGAGTGGAAAACCGGATGTCAAATACGAAATATTTAATGAAAATTGATGTTTGAAGTGTTAATGAATGAATCAAACTTTCACATATTTAGGTATTGCCTTTTGTTTTCCACGAAATTTTTTTTCAATCAATCCACGATCATTTTTTTATTCTAACGATTTGACTCGAAGCGATTTTTTAAGTTCGTTTTTCAATGTAGAGATAATTATACAGTGCTGATTTAAATTATCCGGACAAAACGAACAAAACTTGAATTTTCAAACGCGTTTTTCTCAAATTGGGTTAAGATTAGACAAAAAGTGAAGAGAACAAAAGTTGCTTAGAATTTCATCAAAATTAATATGGTGCTATTTTTTCTCCGAAATTCTCAACAAAAATTGTACCCCAAAAATGGGTCATTATGGCTTTTTTCAATTAATCAAGAATTACGCAAAAACTACTTTGTTAATTGATAATAAAATTATATCACAGGAAGCCTCTTACGCAGCTCAACAAAGTTTAAGAGAAGTTAAATCTCCAAAAACCAGTATAAGAGAAAAAACTTTCACTTGATAGTCAATAAATGTGATTTTTACTATATAAAACCCAGAATCTCTGTTTAAAAATAAATTTTAAACAATTTGCGCAAATTTTTGGAGATTTAACTCCTCTTAAACTTTGTTGAGCTGCGTAAGAGGCTTCCTGTGATATAATTTTATTATCAATTAACAAAGTAGTTTTTGCGTAATTCTTGATTAATTGAAAAAAGCCAAAATGACCCATTTTTGGGGTACAATTTTTGTTGAGAATTTTGGAGAAGAAATGGCACCATATTAATGCTGGTGAAATTCTAAGCAACTTTTGTTCTCTTCACTTTTTGTCTAATCTTAACCCAATTTGAGAAAAACGCGTTTGAAAATTGAAGTTTTGTTCGTTTTGTCCGGATAATTTAAATCAGCGCTGTACTATCGCAAAAACTGGAAATAGAGCGCAAAGTTTTGTTTCCCTTAGTTTCAAAAGTATATTTTTATGACTGGGATAGATTATCAGAGGAGAAAAAATCCTCAGTTCATTTTTTTAATCATTTGAATATAGCAGAAAGTCTCTTGAAATTGAAAGAGATTTACGATAAAAATTTTTCATTGGATTCGAAGTTGAAAATATATATATTTCAATTTTTTTTTTGTAATTTTCCAGTTTGCTTGAATTCATTAACGCTGTTCCAACTGTCTGTTGGCCATGTTCTCAGTTTCAGAAGTGATCACCGTATTCAGTGTTTGATAATTTCAGCAGTCTTGGGTGGCCCTGAAGGAATGAATGCTGAATTGGGCAGAAGAACATCGCGTTTCGGGTATAGTATCAGATGCCTTGTCTGACCGAAAAGTGATATAGCTCGAAAGTAGTTTCTGAATTATTTGATCGATCATCTTGCGAAATTCGGATACAATATCAAAAAAGGCTGATTAGTCAATAACTTATAAATATTTTCATGATACTATCGTTGTTACTTGCCATGATTTGCTAAAAGTGGAAGATCTCGTTGATAAACATGATTGGTCAGTTGAGATTTGTTTCGTTTTTTTGCTGGTATGCTAATTGGAAGCTGATTAGCTTGGCTAATTACACAAATTGGGTCGAGGATAGCATAGCTACAGGTATGAGATGCGTACTAGATCCTCTTTTTTGGCAGGCTGATTAGCTGTTGTTGTCGAGTTTAACTACAAGTTGTGATTGCTGATTAGCTTTCACATTCAAATTTGGAGAGCTGATTAGCTCAATCTATTTTGTATCATGATATGTGAATTTGGAATTGCGAGTTCACAGTAATGTTGTCATTTTGCAGAAATTCAGACGAAAAAAAATGAGAACTTAACATTCGAGTTAAAGCAAAGATGAGATTCTTTCTAATTTATTGAGCCAAGTGGCATTGCCGAAACTAATCGCACTAATAAGCTAACCGAAATGATAAAGTAATAAGCAATCCTAAGCTTCAAAAACCATGACCCGGAACAAATATTCTGTATCGGGTCTCCAAAAAACTAAAATCGCAAAATCCTGAAAAAAAATCTGAAAAAAGATAAGCTAAGAATAAAGAAAAAATTACTAAAAAATTGCAGCACATCAAGAAAATAATAGGTTATGTGTCACTCATCTTTGCTTGAGCAGTTCGTTTTTAAACGAGAACTGCTCCTAGTATTTTTTTGAAAGTTATTTGGTCTCTTTTTTAGGCTCACAGGTCGATTCTGAACGACACTCTTCTCGACGGAGGAGAGTTCGGACAACTGACAAATGACCCCCATTACAAAGAGGTGAGAAACACTTTCCTGTTAAAATTAAATTTCAAATTATTTAAGTGAAGGGATCTGAAGTTCCTTTAGCCTTTTGATTGAATAATTATAACAGCTACTCATACACTAGTAATTGATTTAATATTATTATTCTGAAAAAAAAAAACAATTTATTGCTACAATTTTGATGAAGTAATTTCAAGTTCTAAATTGAGATAAACAAAATTCCAAATAGATTGTACAGAAATATTGGTGCGTAATTTACGTAGAAGTTTTTCGAAATAGTATTGAATATGATAAGATTTTATATTATGAGGAGACTGCTGTTTTTTTCTCCAGGTTCGAGAGTTTGCCAAGGACGGGTTCCACGTGAAGTTCTTTTTCATCACGCGCATCTGGTACGACTACCTGAACGAAGTGATGAAATCCATCGAAGAGTTGAAGCCCGATGTGGTGATTGCATGCAGCATGCTCTGGGATATCATGCGATATGGAGACACTTTCCTGATTGACGTTTACAAGAACAATTTGGACACTTTTCTGACGGAGATTAAAAAACACGTTCCCGAGACGAGTGCAATCATCTGGGCTAACAGTCCCCCTGTCGCAGACAGGTGCTACGGTGGGGTGTTTGTCAAGCAGGTAAAGAGTACCTTTTTCACAGAATCTCATATTCATACCTTTTCAACGCCATAATTGGCAAAAGTAACACCAAATTGTATGATGAAAAGGTTAAATTGTTATGCACTCTGTTCAATTTGTTCTTAAATTTTGCCGAATTGTCCAATTTAGAGTAAAATTTGTTCAAATAGTTTTTACTGTTGCCCTGAAGCTCTATTCAAAATAAACTTTGTTTAATTTGGTGGTACTTTTGTTAGATGTGGCGTTGAAAAGGTATAATTGCAGAAAGTTTCCTTCTGATTTTTCATTTTAGGTTCAAAAACGTTGATTTTATCTTTGAAGTTTTGGTACACTTTGATTAGTTCTTTAAAAACTGTTTTTTTTTGTTATTTCTCTAATTTTGTTTTCATTAATGACTTTATGATTAAGGCGTCTTTGTATTTATCGAAATCGTTTGATCCGCTTTTGCAGGTGATGAACAAGAAGCCGTTTCTAAAAGAGTGGCATCTACAGGCCATGAAAATAACCAAGACTTTGGTGGAGAAACACGAAGTAGACATGATGGATTTCTTAGGATACCTGTACCCTTACCAGAGCCAGCTGGTCAAAGACGGACTCCACTGGTCCAGTGCTGCTCACAGATACATGACAAACATAATCTTAAGACATGTTTGTGATTTATGGGAATCTGAAGGAGCTAAACTAGCGGAGAAAGCTGTGACTAAACTAGAAGACTATAAAAACATTTACGACGATCCTGATGACGCTTACTTAGCAGATATGCAGAGTTTATTTGACCAGCAAGCAGTAGAAGCTGGTCATTATGCAATGGAACCCAGGCCCTACCACGACTACCAAAGTTCATATGCCCCGCAACCAGGTGGACATAGACATATGCTGCCGACTCGTGACTACCGCTACGACAACCAATATCATCCGGCACATCGGTTTCATCCGGAAGATCCGATGTTGCGAGGTCCCCCAATGCACGCAGATCCCTATTATGGCTACGACCCATACGGAATGCCTCATGCACGAGGTCCAATGCCCTACGGACGGAGCCCAATACCGCCTCGTGTTCCGAGAGCAATGGACTATTATGCACCTCACGATCCTTATTACCCTTACGAAGGGGGCTACGACGACGTTTACGGAGGTCTGCCTGATTCCTACTTAGCACCGAATTACCGGTTAGGAGCAGGATTTACTAACTATCCTCCGAGACCAGCGATGGGATACAGAATCCCACCTCCTGCAGCCCCTGGTAGGTGGGGAGATGAATACGCAATGGCAGAACGACCCTTCGCCAGAAGTCAGTACGAACTAGCCAGGCCTCTGAAACGTCCAATGCCATTAATTGAGCATCAAGATCCCTATGCTCCAGTGCAAAAGAAAGCGTTAATGGAATCCACAGCCACTGCAGCTTCCCATTCTTTGACGCCGGCTGAAGCTGCTAAATTGTCCCAGACGTCCACTGCAGCAGCAACAGCATCGAGTAGTAACGGAAGTGCAAATTACCAGATGACCTTCGAAGAGAGATACGGGGGACCAGTTGGTAAACCGATGTATTGGTGATGAAAAGTTCTGATCATATGTTGCTATAAGACAATTTCCTCCAGATTTCTTGATCAAAAGATGCGGTCTGTATAGTTATAATTTAAGTATTTTTTACGACTTCTTTCGAGCTCGCGTAAGTGATAGATAGCAAGGTTGGCGTATTTCGAACGCACTTCAAATCAGTGAAAACTGGTTGCTATACAAGTAGCACGAAATCTTCCGAGCAACGAGCAAAATGAGTTGAGTTGAAAAATTCAAGATTGAGTAAAATTTTTTTATAAACAAAAAAAATCAATTGGTTAAAATATATTTTCATTTTTAACTGTCGAGGCATTGAAGATATTTATAGTGAAGACATTCATAGATGTCTTGTTGGTTTTTTTGAAGACAAGTTTTTCACCTTCTTGTAACCGGGAACTAGGTTTTTTTTCCCATTAACAAGTTTTCTTACAAATTTTCAACTAGCTTCGTTAATGAACCTTAACAACTTCCTGGTTCTTTGGCACGTGGCCTAGAGGTAACGCCGCCCTTTTGAACCCTTATGTCAGGGGTTCGAATTCAGGCAGATCCTTGTGTGTTTCAGTATGTATCGATCCTTCTTATCTATCTATCTATCTATTTATCAAACCATCTGTCCAGGTATTATCTATTATCTATCTATCTATTTGTTATATATGAAAATGCGAACTTCACTATCTCCACATGTTTAAGATTTCTAAGCGTATTATTTTTGCATGTTCAACAAGAGAATTTTTTCACGTTAGTAGTAGATGTTGGAGGTTAAGTGGGGGGTTGGGAGGTGCATGGCAGACCCCATGTATTAAGATACGTTATAGATTTCCGGTCTGCCATGCTATGTATTAAGATAGGGAATAGAGTCTACAATGTATTAAGATAGGGAATCTCAGGGGTTGGGAATCTTGCCTCCAAAAATGACGGCACAAGTCCTTGTAGTTTTCGAGATGAAGTTTTTTTGTGATTTTGTGGTTTTTTGTAAAAATTCAGAAAACAATTTTTTATTCATTTTTTTTTCAAGTTTTGAAGTTCCCAACCCAGTAGTTGGGGCCTGTCGAAGTACTCTCAGGATTTGCAATTTTTACCTCCAAACGTGACTGCTCAAATCTTTGTAGTTTTCAGGTATGACTTTTCTGTGATTTTTTCAAGAATTTAAAAGAAAACTTGGACTTATTTTTTAAATAAATTTAAAGTTCCTAACCCTGTAATTGGATGTTGTCATAGTACACTCAAAGGATGCAGATCTTATTTGTAATATCTGTGGTTTTATAATTTAATAAAAACTCGAAGCACCGCAGGTGAGTTACATGCTAGTTTTTTTTTGATTTTTTAGAGTAATGAACGTAGTATAGGTGCTGAGTTTTGATTTTTCGCGGTTTGTCTTGTGATTTCTTTCTAATTTCAGTGCATTTTCATTGTTAAAAGGAAGGCAAACTGCACTATTGAAGGAACAGCTAAACTGGAAAGGTCACGAAAAACGTGATCGACTTCAGATTTCGAAAATAGAAATTAATTATCAGATTTACCAGCGAAATAAAAGTTTCAAGTATTGATCCAGTTTTCTCAAATTGGGTTAATTTTAGCAAAATAGGTCAATATTAAATTGTTCTACAAATTCTAGGAACTTTGAGGCCATCTTTTTTTTTCTTCGAAATTCAAAAGTTGAAGGCTTTAAAAAACAAATCACTTAACATGCGTTTATTACTCTTTTCCAACTGCCAGTTGGCTATGTTCCAGTTTGAATTCAGTGTCCATTTCAAAGCAACCCAGTTAAGGTATGACGTCTCGGTTCCCATGGTTTGCGCGTTTTGGTTCTAAATATGACTACTCAAATCTATGAATACCCAAATCCTTTTACTTAACGAGACACGACGACTTTCGCACTTTTTTCCAAATTTTTCAGAAAAGGCAAATTTGAATTATTCACAAAAATTGAAATTCCCAACCTGGTTTTTGGACTGTCATGGTACTCCTAGGAGTTCCAAATCTCGCCTCAAATATCACTGCTCAAATCTTTGTAGTTTTCAAGATCTGGCAATTAATAACGATTTTTTTCTTAGATTTCAAAAACTTCAGGAAAATGAATTCCCCAATCCTGTAGTTGGGTACTGAGGGTACTCTCAAGAGTTGCAAATCTTGCGTTCAAATGCGACTGCTTAAATGCTTTTAGTTTCCGAGATTTGACGTTTTCTGATTTTTCAAAAGTTTTTATAAAGTTGCATTTTCACTACCTTGTAATTGGATGCTGCTAAGGGGTTCTCAGAGTTTTGCAAGTGTTTCCTCTGAATGTAACTGCTTAGTTTTTTTTAGTTGCCGAGACATTACCTTTCTCAACATATATGAAAAAAAGTTTCGTAAAACTTGATTAAAAAAGCTTCAGAATATCTACAACTGCCAACCCTGAGGGTGATATCTCGTGACACTCTCTGAGGCAGTAATTCTTTCCTCCAAGTTTGGCTGCTTAAACCATCTTTGTTTCCGAAAAGATGGGCCAATGAAAAAAACATAAGTTAAACTAGAGTCTCATTCATGAGTTAATTGATTTTGCCAATAAAATCCTAAAATCTAGAAATGCTGTCCGATATTTTTAGGGTTTGTTTTCTGAGATCAAAAGACAGTTATCTCAAAGCCAATGTTCTGGAGATTTGGCCATTTTAGCTCAAAAAGAACCTTTAAATTGAAGATTTTTTTGGTCCATTTTTGAAATCGAAAGCGTTGCTGGATGCCCCCGTCTATTACACAGTTGCACTCGTTTCGTTATTTCATATAACGATAAAATCAGTTTCTTGTTTATTAATCTGTTTGCAGCACCGAAGGCGCGTTACTCGCTAGTAAATTTGAATAGTCAGATTTTCGTTTGTCTGCTGAAGTTTTTTCGGCTTAAATTCCAAATCATGGAATTTTCTTGTGCTGTAAGCTTGTGTCATGATAGTTGCAAGGGTTGTTTTTTGTAGTTTCAGGGGGTCTTGAAACTTTTTAAAGTTTTTCAAAAAATCATTTTTTTCGGCTCAACTGGTTTCTGCTCAAAGATTTTTGGCTTTGTTTCTGCTTCCCAAGTTTTGTTCTTTTGCCAGTTTGAGCTTTGTCTTGTATGTTTGATTAGAATAAATTTTTGAAAAAACAGGTTTTAATAAATTATTTGGGATTGTTTTTTTTTCTTTTTTAGAGGCTTTGAAAATTTATTTAAAGTGTTTGGAAAAACTTCAATTATTTTCAAAAACTGCTCAGCTGATCTTCAAAGAAGGGTAGCAATTCTTTTTGAGAAGCAACTAGTAAGACCGCTTACTCATCTGTGTGCCTGTATACTCCGCTAGTATCGTACTTTACCCTCTGTCTATAGCCTTCGAAAAAGTCTGTCTGGGGGAATTTTTTGACCCATATTTTTTATGGGTCAAAGAATTCCCCCAGACAGCTACGCCCAGGTTTTTTACACTTAAGTTATTGCCCTCAGAAAAGTCAACTTTTCGATTTAATTACCGATTTTATAAACGTTTTCTCGAAAACTACCCTTCCAAATTTCAATTTTCAGGCTCAATCGAATTTAGAGGTTGCGTGAATCTCTGCTCAAACGGCCTCGCCCAATTTTTTTTCTAGACCAAAAAGCTATGTTATGTAGAATTGTCATTTTTTTGATTTGTTATCCGTTTTTCTGACTTTTCTCAATAACTATCTTACCAAATCTGATATCATATGTTTAATTGAAACAACAGGTTGTATACAGCCTTCTTTTATAATTGACTACGCCCAAATTTCTTTAGAACAAAGTGTTAGGGTCTTCAAAAAGTCAAGTTTGAAACTTCTAGCGGTTTTTGGAAACTTTTTGACTTTACTAGAAAACTACCGTGCCAATTCTCACGTTAAGTTTTCAATCGAGAAACCCGTTGTTGGGAATCCTCTCTACTTAAGCGGGCACAACCTGCTTCAGCAGAAAAAAAGTTTATGAATTTCGAAAAGTCTTTGAAATTTTTCCGAAATTTTTGAAATTTTTTTTAAAAACTACCCTATCAAAGCTGAGATCAAAACTTCTGAGAAAGAAACGTAAAACCAGAAAACCTCAAACCCTGTAGTTTAAGAGAAATTTTAAACTTGTTTTGTCTCAATTTTCGAGCTCTTTGAAGAGCTTGATTACTCTTGCAAGAGAAAGCGTCTTGTAATCGGGAACTAGACTTTTTTCCGTAAACAACTTTTAAAAAGATTTTAACTTACTTTTTGATTGAACCTTCACAGTTTGCGCATTTTTTTTCTCCTCTGGCTAAAGGTAACGCAGTTGCCTTTGCATCCCAAGGTCGGGTTCGTGTCTCGGCCGGTCATTGTCTTTTCAGTATGTGCAGTTTGAAAAATAACAGTTGCTTTGTTGGACCTTCGTTTGTCTGCTCTAATTTTGTCGAATTGGTTGCCACATCGCGTTTTTTTTTATTGTGTTGTAAGCAACTTTTATTGTTATTGCAATCCAAGTGTCGGTCATTGTTTTTTGCAAGAAGGGCTTAAAACTCAAAAGAATTTTTTTATAAAATTGATTTTTTTTTCGGATCAACTTGTGTCTGCTCAAGATTGTCGGCTTAGCTGCCAGACCACGATTTTTTTTGTGTTTTAAGCAGCTTTCATTGTAACTGCAAAAGCAAGGTTTGTTCATTGTTGTTGCATGAGGAACCTACAACATGAGGAACCTACAACTTTAAACCTACAGCTTCCGGCTCTAAAAAATGCCTAAATTTAAAGCAAATTTGGTGCTGTGTTAACTAAGCCGACCAAAAAGCTGACAAACAGAAGTCCGATAAAAAATTTCGACGCGCATACAATTTTTTGATTACAAAAAACAGGTCTTGGCCGGATTCGAACCATTTCCGCTCTAAGATTGTCGGGTTTGTTTCCTCGTACATTTAGCAAGCCGGAATATACTCCATTTTTTCGTGTTAACAACCAGTTTTACAGAATTACTTGAATCATTTCATCTTTATTTCATATGCTGTCAAAAGTCAGACGTCAATTCGTTTTTGGTAAAGACGTAACGCACCTGCCTATAAAAACAGGTCAAAAGTGCGAATCCGGCCATTGACCTGTCTTTGGTGCGAATCCGGTCAATGGTGCGAATGTTTGTCGGA